CATTGACTACAACTCTCTGGCTTCTTCCCTTCAACCAATTCACAGCCCACTTCACTACCCAGTCATCCAGAACACATTTCCTCAGTTTAGCGATAAGGATGCTGTGGGAGATGGTGTCAAATGCTGTAGTAAAATCCAGATAAACCACATCCACTGCACTGCCATCATCTATCCATCTGGTTATGTCTTCATGAAAGGCTATCAAGTTGGTCAAAGATGACTTCCCCTTGGCAAAGCCATGCTGACTGCTCCTAATGAGCCTTTTATCCTTGATATGCCTAGAGACAGCGCCAAGGATAAATTGTTCCATCACCTTTCCAGGGACGGAGGTGAGGCTGATGGATCTGTAGTTACCCGAGTCCTCCTTCGTGCCCTTTTTGAAGACTGGAGTGGCATCTGCTCTCCTCCAGTCCTCAGGCACCTCTCCTGTTCCCCACGACTTGCCAAAAATGATGCAGAGTGGCCTAGCAATGACTTCCACCAGCTCCCTTGGCACCCATGGGTGCATCCCGTCAGGGCCTGTGGAATTATGGATGTTCAGATCAGTTCTCATCAACCAAGGCCAACTCCTTTATCCTGACTTCCTCTGGGGCTTCCTGAGCACAGTCTCCAACAGTGTAGAGAGAGGCAAGGAAGGCATTCAGTAACTCTGCCTTCTCTGTATCCTCTGTCTGCAGGGCACCCACCTCATTCACCAGAGGGCCTACATTGCCTCTAGTGTTAGCTTTGTTGGCAATGTATTTGAGGAAGCCCTTTCTGTTGTCCTTGACCTCCCTTACAAGATTTAGTTCCAAAGAGGTCTTAGCTTTCCTAGTTCCCTCCCTACATCCTCTGACCACAGTCTTATATTCCACCCAAGTGGCCATCCACATGGTTAACCATGTGGGTCTCCTGGCTCCCTATCTGATTTCCTACCTATTGGGATGCACTGATCTTGAGCTTGGAAGAAGTGGTCCTTGAATACTGACCAGCTCTCTTGGGCCTCTCTACCTTTTAGTACCCTCTCCCATGGAATTTTCCCTTGAAAAGGCCAAAGTTGGCCCTGCTGAAGTCCAGGTTTATGGCCCTGCTTGGAATTTTGTTCCTACCGCACAAGATCCTGAACTCCACCATCTCCACCGCAGGGTCGCGACAGCCAAGGCTGCCGTCAACCTTCACTACTTCAACCAGACCCTCCTTGTCAGGGAGGACAAGATCCAGCAGCGCTCCTCTCCTAGTTGGTTCGTGCACCATTTGCATCAATAAGGTGTGACTGATGCACTGAAGGAACCTCCTGGACTGAGGATGGCTGGCTGTGTAGGCCTTCCAGCAACTATCTTGGCAGTTGAAATCTTCCATGAGAACCAGGGCTTGTGATTGAGAGGCTGCTGTCAGCTGCCTGTAGAAGCCTCATCAGCTTCCTCATCCTGATCAGGTGGTCTGTAATAGACACCCACCATAGTATCACCCATTCTAGCCTGCCCCTTCATTCTCACCCACAAAGTCTCAACTTGCTCCTCATCCACCCCTGGACAGAACTTGATACATTCCAGTTGCTCTGTCACATAAAGAGCAACTCCACCACCTCGCCTTGTTGGCCTGTCTTTTCTAAAAAGGAAACGGCCATCCATGACCACATTCTAGTCATTTGAACTGTTGCACCATGTCTCTGTAATTGCCCCCAGATCATAATCCTTTGACTGCACACAGATTTCTCTCTCCTCCTGTTTGTTGCCCATGCTGCGTGCATTTGGGTAGAGGCACTTCAGCTGGGCTGTCAGCCGTGTCACCTTCTGGGTGGAATACTGCTTAGTTCCCTTGAGGTGTTCTATGGATGTTTCCCCGTTGGCTCCTACTACCTCAGGAGCCCCTGGTTCATCTCTGTAAGACTTTAACTGTGCTGCTGTGTCCACAGCTCGCCTCAGAGTAACCAGTTGAAGGCCTTTATTAGCACATCTAACCCTGGTATATCATCCCACAGCTTGTCACAGACAAGCCTGATATTGTTATCCTCCTCCCTCTTTGTAACTAGTTTCAAGCCCTGTCGATCAGCCCTGAAATCTCTTGGGCAAAGACCCTCTTCCTTCTTTGGGAAAGGTGACTCCCACTTGAGGCTGGCAAACCTGGTGCTATGTAGGCCATCCCATTGTCAAAGAACCCAAAGTTGTGGCAGTGATACCAGCCACAGAGCCACATATTAAGACGCTGGATTCTCCTTGGTTTCTCAATAGCACTGCCCACCACTGGAAGAAGAGATGAAAATACAACCTGTGCCCCAGATTCCCTCACTGACTGTCCCAGGGCCCTAAAAACCCTTTTAATGGCTCTTGGACTACAGGTTGCAGTTTCATCTCCACCTACATGGACGACCACTAATGGGTAATAGTCCGAGGACCTTACCAGACTAGGAAGTTTCCTAGTGATGTCCCTAACCTGGGCTCCACGGAGACAGCATACTTCCCTTTGCTGAGTGCTACTTTGTGAAGCTGGAATAATTACTTTGAAACTTGGGGTGGTCTTAATGATCTCTTCTGGGGGAAGAATAAGGTACATATAAAACTCAGCCTTTTGCAGGTTATATTTTAGAGTGACATAGTGTGAATACTACTTTAAATGTTCTGTCACGTCTGTGTTGGATGTGCAACTAGGCTAAAGTTGGAAATTGAATTTCCTTTGTAGTCAACAGAATATAGCTAATACTTTGACACATAACCAGACCCCTTATGTTGCAAGTTTCAAAGTAGTTGTAACAAATTCCTTATTAGATTACTCCTAAATTTGAAGTGCTGTATACATTTAAAAAATTACTGCTTTTTTTTAAAGTAAATTAATGTTAATCTACTTTTCAAGGAACAAACATGCCAGCTACTTTTGGGCATCTGGCAGGTGGTTACGATGGTCAGTACTATGGATACCTGTGGAGTGAAGTATTTTCCATGGACATTTTTTATAGCTGCTTTAAGCAAGAAGGCATAATGAATCCAAAGGTAGGTGTTGAATACTTCTTACTGAAGACTTCTTTTGCACTTCATCTCTGATACCATGTGAACTGCAATCATGATCCATAGGTGTAATATCTCAAGTATTTCTTCTGTACCTGTCAAGTTCAGATCAACAAAAAGGTGTATAAGTAAGTTAATTACTTAAGATAATCATGTTTGTATTTCCAAGAGCACTTGGGTTTTAATACAATCCTTACACAGTCATGTATTTAATATTATAGTATGACATTTTAAAAACATTCAGTAAAAATATAGAAGAGAGAAGTAAAGTAGAGATCAGAAAGTGCTTGACTCTCCTGTTCCTCTCCTGGAATTTGTCTTCATTGTTCCCTTTCCCAAGGGTACCACAGCAACCCACAGCAACTAAAACTTCTAGAACTGTCCTTCCCTCTAAAGGGTGGAGAAAGTAAACAAGATTAGACTTTGACCTGGAAAAAGAGAGGAGTCTGAAGAGGGGTGAGGGCTAGAAAGCTAAGGCAGGAGTTAGGCCAATAAAACCCCGAGGGGGTTTTGTGAAGAAAAGCGTCAAACTGAATAGATTGAGAGGAGAGGTGACAAAAGGTTTGGAGGTCAAGACTGATTTTGGTGTTTTAGGGATCCATGACAGGTACATGTGAGAATAAGCATACCTGCTTATTCAGTGAGAATATTGTCAGAGAGCAAAAATAGCAAGTTAAATGAGAGAATGAAATAACTTTTTAAGAAAATGCTCTTTGGATAGATCTTAAAAAATGGAATTTTGGGGATAGGTCAGACTTGCTGTCTTTTTTTAACTGTTAGTGGTTGGGAGAGGTGGATAAGGGTGCTGGTACCAGACTAGGGGAGTTTATCAGTGCTTTATTCTGACACATGCATGCTCTCCAGTGTCATCACAGACCTTTTTTCTGTCAGCTTTACTGTCTAATCTCAAAACTTGTTCCTGAGTGATTGTATAGTCAAAACCCCTAAGCTGTAATTTGCTGGAATTGCTCTGTGACCTTTACTTCTCCTGGGGGATGAAAGTACTTTTTATTCTGATTTTCTGTGGTGGGGAATTTGGTCTTCTTTGTCTGCGTATAGGAAGCTTCAAAAATAAATTAGTTATGCTAGGAGTGAATATTTGCTATAGTTCAGTTAAAACGCAACTAGTGTTTCTTTTAATGTGAAGCCTGCTATCCAGACTGTGAGGAAGAATAATGATTATTTTTGTCTGTGCATGTCACTCTCTCGCATAGGTGTGTACACACACACTTTACTTGAATGCTGATATATCTTCAGGGGTATCTCCATGGAGAATTTCCCTCCCTTTTCAGAGCAATGCTATCTTCTCAAATTGTTTCTCTTTCAAATTGTTTTCCTTATTTGCATTCCAGGTGAATGCAATAGTTCCACAGGATGAGGCAAACAATGTTTCATAAACAAATACTAGATACCAGTATGATTTTTGTAGTTACTCGTATTTCATTACAACTAGATTTAGTGTTCAGAACAACAGGAGAGGAAAATGGTTATGGTATTATGACTAAGTCTTTTAGCAATCTGGCTTACCTATTCCTGTAAGAATAAAACTTTTCTTCCTGTTTTGAGCAAAAGTTATAACAACTAGTTTCAGAGACTATATCTGTAAAAATTATTCAACAAAAACTTAACTCTAACATAATTGTTTGTCATACTCCTTCATAATTCTTGCATATTATCTGAGATAACTTCTAATCTCCCTAGAACTGAGCAATGTGCTGACTCTGGAGAGACAACAGCAATATCTCAAGTGTACTGTAACACTTCTAATCTACAAGTAACAATATGTTCATCTGCTGCTGACAGTCAGGAAACTAACACAAATATTGAAGTATAAGCAATGCTTCAGTGAATTATTTTGGGGGAGGGGTTAGTTTTTTGCGGCTGTAATTTGGAGAGATTGGCAGTGCAATTAAGTCATGGAATTCCATCAGTTAAAAAGACTTGTGCTTGTTTCTGCAGTGCAGCTATCAGGAAGTGGTGTGATCCTGTAATCTCATAGCTTTGCATGTGGGGGAAGTATATATGTGTATATACAGTGACTAAAAGAAAGAATGTTGTTTTTTTCAATATCAGAAGCATCTGTGACATCTGCATGCAAAACGATATTTTTTTGTTTATGTCTCAGAAGCCCAAAATTCTCCAGATATGTTCTGTAAAATATGAAGCCTTGTTAGGGAAGTCCTCATTACTTACTATTGCCTCAGAAGCTATGCTCATTCTTTTAAATGGATCCATTCCTTATGAAGTAATAGTGCATCTTCCTGAAAATAAAACCTGAGGCATTACTTTAATGGGAGAGTTAGAAGTGTTTGCATATATTATATATACCACTGTGCATGTAATATGTGTGCATATGCCAAGTCATTCCTCAATTTGATATCTACCTCTGAACTATCTTCTTGATTGACCAGACTGAGATTAACAAAAGAGAATTCATGAGTTAGGAGAGAATGAATGTTAGGTTCCCTTTTTCTGCCAGTCAGTCACAGAGATACCCCATCACTGAAGATGGTGTGGAAATTATGCCTGTGTTACCCTTTACAGAATGTCTTCTACACAGGCTGTGACTGCAGCTTCCAAAACAGTGTAAAAGCACAAGAAAAAAATTTATTTGAGAATAGATTAAATTTCTGGTCTTTTGAGGTCTTCCAGCAGATCTACATTATACTTGTGCTGTATCCTGATTTGATGTTAAGAAAATCTAGAAGGAAGGAAGGTGTTTAATCATGACTAGATTTTTAAATACCCAACATACAGAAAAGAAGTAGTCCAGAAGGTAAGACATACTAACATTCTGCTTTATCTTTTATCAGGCAGGGATGAAATACAGAAACCTCATTTTGAAACCTGGAGGATCTTTGGATGGGATGGATATGCTACAAAATTTCTTGGAGCGTAAACCAAGTCAGAGGGCTTTCCTGTTGAGTAAGGGATTAGGTGTTCAGTAAACATCCTTTGTGATGGCTTCCCAGTATGGAATGAGCTGGAAATGTCAATGTGTTTCACATTTAAACTATGTATCACTCTAGGGAAATTGGGTCACTTTTTGATGATTTTTTTTTTAATTGTATAAATAAAAATGTGGAGTTTTTAAATTGCATAGGGCTACAAAATTCAACACATCAGGGAGAAAATAGAGATGTGCAGAAACTGAGGAATTTGCGTGGTAATTTTTTTTTAATTGTTATGAAATAATACTAATTAGTATGGGAGATTGATGCCATGTTTCTCTTAATAGGTGCACTTAAACTGTTTCTTGTGAATGAATGTGAAAACTAGAGGGGATAAAAAGGACACTACCAGCAATAAAAAAAACCAGATTCATTCTTATTCTATCTTCTTCTATTTTATTGGTGGCTCACCAATGTTTTTGATGGGATGGTAGCGTTTTATTTCGTCAGGGTTGGGCTCAGTCCAGCTTCCTGACAACTTTCAAGACTGAAAACCTGCCCCAGATAGCTTTACAGCAGAGATACTTGTGTGATACTCTGAGATTTCTTTCTGATAGTATAATTTATAAACTGATACCATCAGTGGCCCACTCTGGCCTCCAATCGGGAGACATGGAGACACACCATCTATAACGCTGCTGCCTCCTTTGAGAACACACGTAGAATTAATCTCAAGGAGAAAAGACAACACAGTTAGAACCGCGCCTCGCCAATACCGCCTAAGGAGACTTTCTGCTGTGCCTTTTGCAACCGGACTTGCCTATCCCGCATCGGCCTTTTTAGCCATCAGTGCGCTTGTAGCAAGTGTGGGTAGAGCCCTTCCCATATCTTCGTTCGCGAAGCCAAGTCATGATGGTGATGATCACATATATATATATGTACCTAAAAAGAAAAAAAAAAGCCAAAACTACCATTTGAGCTACTATTTCTTCCCTTCATTGAAGAAAGCAGCCAAAATCTATGACCTTGGCAGTTCCTACACCATTTTTTCTTTTTTGTTGATGATTGCAAATCAAATCTTTGTTATTAAGATTGCATCAACACTGGAACTGAGAAGTTATACTTGAGCAATTATAATGGTTTCAGTTGATTTGTGAATTATTTTGAAATAGACATAAGGAATGAAGGGAAGAAAATATCTCTGTGGGAATGCTATAAGTCAATCCAAGATTTTCCTATTCCTTTCAGTGTAGCATAAGGTGCTACAATAAAGCTTCCTATATGTAATCATTTCAGCTGTAGGACTGTCAAAGTAGTTGAGGGATTATTTTGCAGTTTTTCTCCAAAATTAGGAAAAATAAGTCTTATAAGCCAACTCTACACCACCCGAGTAAAACTGCTAATCCAAATGCAGTTTTCTTGCATTTAGATATCATAGCTCCTTTGGTTTTGGTATCACAACATATATATGAACAAACTTTGATTTTTGGTTACTAGCTAATTTATTTTAGACTTTTGAACTGTAGCTGTAAACACAGTTGGTATTTTTATTTGTTTGATCAGCAACAAAGTAAGAAAATGTGACTGGTCAACTCAAAGACTTCATTTTTCTTCTAGCAAAACAAAAAACACAATTGTGACTGTTCAGTTGAAACTTTATTTCTGTGTGTGTTTTCTTTTAAACCATTTAAACTGTGGCGGAGAGGGGGAGGAGCTTAATTAGTTTCTGAAATGGAAAGTTTGACAGGACTTATTTTTGAACCACACTAGTTAAGGATGTGAGGAAACATATAATGTAGTCTTACCAGACCTCATAATTGAGTCGGTTCTAACTCTCATAGTCCTTTGCAGTTTAAGACCCCAGTTCTGCTGGGTCATGAAAAGATAATACATGAAAATCATATATATGTTTGAGAACAGCTTGAACTGCATTCATATGAGCTATAAAGGAAAACTGAGGAGTCTGAAGGATGCAAGATTATCCTAAAACCTGTGAATTTGCCTAGGTTAATTTCCCTTACATTCTGACTGGATTTGGAGGTATTTTGCTTTCTTTTTTAAACTTGTTTAAATTCTTGTGATCCTGTCTTATCAAAGATTGTTTCCTTTCACATTATGATGATAGCTCCAATTAGTAAACTGTTGTAAAAACTATACTAAGTCATACTTTCCAAAAACGAATCTGCAAATCTAAGCAATGGTACCTTTATTAAGAAGCAAAATGCAGTTGTTATTTTACAGCTGGTAAGCAGATTTCCACATGAGGGAGACCTTTCTCTGCATAAACCAGCAGTCTCAGGTCAAGGTAGATAATTGCAAATTTAGTAATTATAAACAAAAATGTGATGATAAAAAGTTATGTGGTGATTTAAAAGTTAGATTTAGGACAGTACTAATACTAATGATGATAATTTAATTGACTTGTTTTCCTGTTCTTAGAGTGTGTGTGTTATACAGTATATAGTAACTAAGATCTGAAATGCAGAAGAATGCTATTACATGTTTTTGAAAATGCCTACATGATTAAGACAGTCTCTTATAGCTAAAACTGCACTCAACACATAAAACTAATGGGTGTGTTCTGAGGTGTTTCTGAAACATCTTAATGTGGTAACATGAGTTTTGTCTGCAAATTTTTATATTGCCTTCATGGAGCCTTCTAATCAAGTTGAGATTGAACTAGATGAGCTTTAAAGGTCCCTTCCAAGCCAAACTATTCTATGATTCTATGAAACTCATGTTCACATTTCTTACTGTAAAGACCTAATCTTGGAATGGAAAAGATAACCTGGAAAAAGATATCTTTTCTGTTTTTACATCTCTCCATCATAGACATGAAATTTTGTCTTATTCTCATACTTCCAAGTTTGTGACATCAAGTACCCCAAGAAAACAGGGAACACTTCTGCTTTAGAAACATGAGTTAATTGCCTTGGCACTGCACAGAAACCATCACATGCATTCAGATGTGCCAAGAGGTAGGGATCTGGCAAAACGCAGCCTGTTCTAGAGTTGCTAGACCCTAGAGTTGCTTAAATTTAGAAACAGCAAAAGGCTGTGTTTGTTCCAACCAAACGTTAATTATTCACTGTAATAATTAAGTAATTTGTAATCTTACTCAGTAACAAACAGCTGCCTTTTCAAGTTAGTAATGTGTCTTTTAGAATTTCCTTGTATTTAGGGTTTTTTTCTTCAGTCAGAGATTCAGATTGGATTTTGGCTGGCTTCACAAAAAAACCCACTTCAAATGAAAGGGAAAGGGTAAAACGATGGTAACCACTCAGTAGTGGGTAATAGTCAATGGCTTTCTCGCTCTGCTGCTTCACTGCAAAAGCTGGAATGGGCTGGACTTGCAGCTGGGTCACAAGGTGGCCAGGTCATGGCCTCAGCAGTCCCTGCTGCTAGTTGTCTGACTTAGGGCCAGCATGTAGGCTGTCTCTGGACTGCTTGCAAGTCATGCGGTCAAGCCTAAATGGTAAAAGCAGTCTGAAGAAAAAGTTTAAACTTGTTCTCTGAGCTATGATGGCTATTGGTTGTTATGCTAGCTTGATAAAGAATCATAGAATCATTTTGGTTGGAAAAGACCTTTAAGATCATTGAGTCCAACTGTTAACCTAGCAATGCCAAGGTCACCGCTAAACCATGTCTCCAAGCACTACACCTACATGTCTTTTAAATACCTTCAGCAATGGTGACTCCTCCGCGTTCTGGGCTTTTCCAAGGCCTGACAACCCTTTCAGAAGAAATTTTTCCTCATGTTCAATTGAAACTTCCCCTAGCCATTTCCTCTTGTCTTTAGTGCTCATTACATGGGAGAACAACTTCTGCCTCAAGAGCATGAAGACATAGAGAGTTCATTTTTCTAGGGACAGGTGGAGTATTGACTGTCACTTGAGTTTCTGATACTACTATAGTTGATTTTCCTATCCAAATTATTATCTGTTGCATGTTACTATTATACAACAAAAAAACCAAAATTAGTTATTTTGACAAGTGTCAGTCAGCTGCTGACCTTGTTTGACAAAAAGCTGTTAAACCCTGTTTTAACAGATAATCAATCAGCAAGTTATTCTAATGCCTGTAATCATTTGGTATGGGAGAACTTAAATTACAGCAACAAGAAGTGAATCACAAGGCCAAGATCTCAGCTTACTCTCTGAAAAATGAAACAATTTCCAAAGACCTTCAGGGGTATTGGGGGAGAGTTAAGTTACATGGAGACTCCTGGAGGGATTTTCCAAAACAGCGGAGCTGGTAGCTGATAGCTAGTTGCATAGCAAGTGGTTAAGTGGAAAGCAAATGTCACTCCAGTCTTCAAAAAGGGCAAGAAGGAGGACCCGGGTACCTATAGACTGGTCAGCCTCACCTCCATCCCTGGGAAAGTAATGGAACACCTTATCCTTAGTGCCATCTCAAGGCATATCAAGGATAAGAGGGTCGTTAGGGACAGTCAACATGGCTTCACCAAGGGGAAGTCATGCTTGACCAACCTGATAGCCTTTTATGAAGAGATAACAGAGTGGATGGATGATGGCAGAGCGATGGATGTGATCTACCTTGACTTCAGTAAAGCATTTGACACAGTCTCCCACAGCATCCTCGTAGCTAAACTGAGGAAGTGTGGACTGGATGATCAGGTAGTGAGGTGGATCGTGAACTGGCTGAAGGGAAGAAGCCAGAGAGTCGTGGTCAATGAGGCAAAGTCCAATTGGAGGCCTGTATCTAGTGGAGTGC